CTATTCTTTAGCGCTTGTTGTACACGTACCTGTAAACATTTCGATAGTTATTGTGCCAAAACAGAACGACGACAAAGGGACAAGAAGGAGACGACCCTTTCTCGTCGTTCTGTTCTCGCGCTATAACTATGGTCATGTCATACACCTAGCCCAAACCTCCACACTTCTAAGGTGCCAGCGAATTCTGGGCAAGCCCGTTCCGTGAGGTCTTGTTCTGCAGCTAGTCCGAATTAGCAGCCAAGAAGTGTGGGATAGCGCGCTTACTCAAAATGGAGCCAAAACACAGAATGGTCGCAGCAAAGTTTCACTGACCGACAAAAAACTTCTTCACAAACTTCTTCACAAGTCTTGTGTTATCGTTCGTGACGCGGCACATAAGTGTAGACTCGCAAACACAAGGTGCATAAACCGAATCCCCTCAGGTTTCGGGAAGCGTAGCGATGAGGCACAACCGATAATAGACACACGCCTGGGCAACAGATCTGGGTATCAGACTTTCGATAAGTAGTTACGCCATACCATCGCGGACCTCACGAAATAGGCCTCGAAAGTAAGGGTTTTGCTCATGGAAAACTGAAAATCGCCATGTGTGCCGTGAACAGACTTTGAGGTGCCATCACTATGCGCTAAAAAAATAATCAAACATTGCTAGCAAATTCAACCCACTTAGAATAGAGAAATAACACTGCCGAGAAAATTTGGATGTCGTGAGGCTTAAGCAGGCCATTATTGTCTCGTCACGTGCGTTGGAAGGATGAGGGCGTATTCCTGAAACGGCGCCCAATTTCATACTTAGTCGTAAATTTGGAAGAGGTGATTGCTCAAGTGAGGTTGCGTGCTCAAAATTTTAAAATATTACAGTGTGGTCACAATTGAGAAAAATTCGAAGGGTACTTGATCTTCTCCTTCTATAATACAGCTTTATTAGAAGCCCTGCGCCTCCTTTTAATTCCTATCGTGTATAGCTTCGGTTTGTCGTGGTTGCCTCAACTGTGCCGAAAAAACTTTACGCGTATGTGCGCCTAACATTAGCCGTTTCAAACTATTCTAGAGTTCATTCTACAAGTACAATCGCGCAGTACCCACTACGTCATAATTATTTTGTTGGCGAATCAGCGACTGGCCCACTGTTCGTCTCTAAAACAACACGCAGACCTACACAGCAGTTCACTTTGTTGATGGTTTTGCTGATGATTATGTATAGATATATCTTAAGGTTTTGTAATAGGTGGCGTTTTAAAACACCCACGCGTTGTGCGATTCACATGTATTGTAGTGTGGCACGATTCTAGATACGCAACCACCATGCAATATTACGTGCGTTAACTCTATGCCTCTTGGTAAAATATTTTCCGGCCTGCTCACTGCCGCTGTGACGTCACTTATTTTGCCCGAGCAAGCGCGCGTACTGGACGCTGTGAACCCATTGCCACATTCGTATCCAGTTAAAATTGATTGATTGATATGTGGGGCTCTACGTACGAAAACCACCATATGATTACGAGAGCCGCCGTGGTGGAGGACTCCGGAAATTTCGACCACCTGGGGTTCTTTAACGTGCACCCGTCTCCAGTCAGCTTCTTGATATTGTGTTTACTCCAATTTTTGCATGCTTAACATCTTTCTTTTGCCTTTTGTGCCAAAAAGGCGCTGCTTTAACCGGTGTATTTTGCTTGAAAGCGTTTATAGATTTATCTGTGCGTCATTTCTTCCACAAAAAGTCAAAGAGTGTGTTATCAAACCAGTGGTCGATCTATAAGAACAAAATTTGATGTACCACTAAAGTGACCACAAAAATAAGTTAAATTTTATTTACTTTTTACTTACACCCACACGTACGCACACTATTTCGAACATGTAGAGCTACACATTTGCAAAGCTACTGCATGCACTTTTATTTGTACTTTTTCGAAAATCTGTCTTTAGAGACACGTAGTTATTGGGGAGTGTGTCTGCTGCTGCCTCAAATGGCTTATTCCACACAATATCAAGATGACGACCACTGCAACAGAAAACAAAATTTTTCGTTTTACAAACATCTCTTGTGACCGACGCAAGGAACGGCTTTTCTCTTTTGCTCGGGCGCCCCGCCGCGGTGGTCTAGTGGCTAAGGTATTCGGCTGCTTACCCGCAAGTCGCGGGTTCGATTCCCGGCTGTGGCGGCTGCATTTCCGATGGAGGAGGAAATGTTGTAGGCCCGTGTGCTCAGATTTGGGCGCACGTTAAAGAACGCCAGGTGGTCAAAATTTCCGAAGCCCTCCACTACGGCGTCTCTCATAATCATATAGTGGTTTTGGGACGTTAAACCCCACAAATCAATCAATCAATCTTTTGCTCTGGCCCCTTTCGCAGTGGTGCGTATTCTCGCTCCTAAGCTTAAGGCCTTTGAAAAAATTTTAGTACTAGGTCTGTATTAAACTATGTAGCCCCAGTGGGCGCTCCTGCTGCACAGACGGCTGTTGGACGGGTATATTTGTTAATGGTTCCTAAACATTCTAGCTTGAAGTAGAGCTCATACACCTGAAAACTATTTAAAAAGGTACTTTACCCTAAGTGTCTACCCGCATTTATATTTCAAGAAAACTTATTATGCTAAGACGCTGGCAAGACAGGTGCAAAATTATAATACCGCAATGAAGTGATTGGAACACCTGCTAGAAAATAATATGCAGTCAACCAATGCACTAAGCAATGCAACTGCATTTGTTCCAGTTTCCTTTTCATGTAGGCCGAAGTAAGACAAGAAATCCCTGCGGCAAATCGCAAATAGCAAAATATTTACCGAAGCTGAAGGAAAAACGCCTGTGCCCAAAATGTGCTGCCATGCTCGTTTCTTATTTTGATGCCAGTGCTTACAAATCAGAAGCACACATGACACCTTTATTTTAGAGCAAGAACGCAGCATGTTGTATATGGTGCCATTGGAACGACTTCACAATATGTAGTATGGGCACACGAACCTTCAGGTCACGAATACAACAGATTTCAACGTCACCTCGACGAACGAAAAGCTCCCATTCCGTTCTTTGGTTCTCCTTAAGAAACAAAAACACTCACAACTTGAGTCCACTTGCCGCGACAATTCACCACGCAGCATTGCTCATCCGTTCGGATTTGCATCTGCACAGATTGCCATATCCAATGCACAAAGTGCATCAAATATCCACGTTGCAGTTATTCACGGACACAGAAAAACACGGTCTTCTCGAGTCGCTAACAAGCACACCAGCACGCCACAAAAACGTTCGCTAGGCTTGACAATCCATGTCTGTCGAGCGATGAGAGCAAGCGTAGGCACGTCTTTGCAGCGAATTATCTAGTTGGTATTGGTTCACTCTTCCAGCTACATAATATTTGTGTCGTGTTTCTTTGTTTTTTTTTGGGGGGGGGGGGTGCAGTTTTAAGCATTCGCGCTGCTATGTCGTAGAACTGCCGCCCGTTTTCTTTCGATTTGTTTCGCTGAAGTCATGGGGGCACTCAGTCGTTACGGAGTGCGCTAGAAAGAAAGAATGGAGGTGATACCGGATAAATAGTCACTTAGATAGCCTTAAAAAACATATAATGCCTGCCTATGAGACGCAGCAGCGCCCACTTTGCGTCAGGTCCCTTTGAGTTCTTTCAAAACTTCACTATTGACATGGAGGAAGGAACGCTAAGGAGTAATCATCGCACTACGAGCAGCAGAGCGAAAAATGACGAGGAAGTCACGTTTTTTTTTTTGCAGAGGGGTCGTGGGTATAGGTGAGGTGGGCAAGCTGGCGTGTCGAGTAGTCTGCATCACCACTGGTACGAATGCGTTGTTGATAGCCAGCTGGAGTTCGCAATGTGCATTTTTATGCGGCTGTTGCATTTCAAAGATGATGCAATGTGTTAGAAGCCTACAGTGAACGTTGGTTATCACGGTTGCGAGTTTAGTTTAACGCTTGAGGTTGAAAACGCTTATTCTCGAAGCTCGTGACCAATTCTCTGGAAACGGTTGGCGCCGCAGCTTCGTTGTTTTCCTTCGGCACTGTGTGGCCTCAGCAAAGACAGCCTAAAATTTCTAGACGAGAATGGCAGTGTCTAAGGTTCTTAATGCGAGAGGTGGCAGTGAGCCGTTCTCGTCTACGATGGTCACAACTATCGGAAAGCAGTACATGGCCCACTGTTGTCGCCGGAGTTTCCCGAGTGAAGTGGTAGGCGTGCATGACAAAGGAAAGTAATTTATTGTTTGAAATACTGCTTCCCGTTTACATTTCGCGCACGCTAACCTCACCTTTGGCCAATTTTTCGTTGTTGCTCTTATGATTGCAGTCGGCAGACCCGCGCTTCTGCGAAGCATACTCGTGCGCACGTATGGTGACACATATGGCAAAGAATGGGTCGGAGGTGCTTCACCTGGCTAAATAGCAATACAAGCTAAATAACATTTCACTGTTACATTATATTCTGTATTCTGAAGTTACCGTTTCTGCAGAAGAAAGCAGCCTGTCGTGGAAATTTTCTGGCCGATTCGCGCCGTTGCTCTCTTTCATTCAGCGCAATTCACATGAAGTGCAAAGCTAGAAGTTCATTATAAATTCACAATATAAGCTGTAATGAGGTAGCGAATAGCACACAGGCTCTCTCCGAACGAGTATCATAGCACGTTTGCTCATAATCAGCAAAACAAGTTTCGCTTTTTCACCTCGTCTATCAGATGTCGGTGGCGGTGCCCCTCAACGCGTTCAAAATCGACTCGTGCGGGTCACCTCCATCCTGCTGGCACCCTTTCGGCATGCGAAAGCCACCGTAGCGTGCCCCTAATTGCGAGGAGGAGTCCTCTACTCTTCCCTCCTTCCGGCTTCACAAAATGTGACGTAACGGCCTCTCAGCTTATTGATTCCTCCATGGCTCTTGATATCCACTCAGTTCGGCTCCAGGAAGGTCTTCCCGTTTTCGTTTCCACATTAACGCGTCTGTGAAAGGTTAGTATTAACACCGCGCGCTGCATTGAGACATGTTAGCCATTGTAACCTTACCATGTATCACTCCGAGTGTCACTGTCATCGTGGCGATGCTGTTGGGAAAAAAACTCAGCATAGCACCAATGCCTGAAATCACCGCTCCTGCAATGATGACGGGCCGTGCATTGAACCTGTGTGCCAGTGGTCCTGTGATGAGTCCTGTAAATGAAGAATTGCAGTTCTTGAAACTCAGCCGCTACGTGTATTTATTTATTTATTCATTTATTTATATATTTAGTCAGGTAGTTGACACACAGAAATAGTCAGCGAGTCTGAACTAATATTCTGACTTGCAAGCTGTCTGCAGTAAAAAAAGAAGCAAAAGCTCTATGTATGACAATGCCGGAGACGGGGTAGGCACGCGTTGACCCCCAGCGGGGCTACAGCAGTGTTCGGTAGTCTATCGCAGGGTGCACGAGTGATGTGGCATCGACCTATTTCACAATACAACAACGAAACAATCAGCGTAAGACCAGTGTGTGGGTGCATGACAGCGGCTGGTAGATATGGCGTAAAAAATGGTGCATGTTGTGCTGGGGCGCGCATAGGCGGGAAATCAGCGCACATGTGGAAACACATCGCAAAAAAACATCTTGAGGCACACAACAGGGAGAGCGAACGCTGTACGTGTATGAACAGAATGTGGAAACGCCAGGATAGCTACGTCGTTAATAATGTCTAAAGATACCTGTCTCCACAGTACGCACACAATGCCGCCGAAAAAGCAGCACAGGGAGGCCAAATAAGCGTTACTCCGCAAACATATTCAATGGTTGACGTTATCAATGGTTCAGTTTCACTGGTGATATTACTTCGTCACTTGTTTTCATCTAATTGAAACTTCCAGCAATCATTGAAAACAGAAAGGCGTACAAAATGTGTGCTTGCAAGCGGCAATTGTGAAGTGGGAGGCAACCACTTCACAATTGACATGCACCAGAATGTTTCACCCGCGTGGGAAACATTCTGGTGCATGTCAGTTGTTAATTTCACTATAGTAACTTGATACAAGTGATATGTTCAGCCTTGGATCTCAAATCCTATAACCTACAGCCCCATCCGCACTCACTTTCAGCCGCGTATTGGCACGGTCAACGCTACGTGCGCGCATTGCACGGAAACATCAGTTGTTTGTGTATTTACTACTGTGCAGCGTTGTTGATGCAGTCACTATCGCTCTTCGCAGTTGGCAAGAAGCATGCGATGAGTTAGTGTCCTGCCGCAAAAGAAGACGCTAGGTGGTTGAGTGGCTTGCGGACGCGTCTGCATCGGCTCCGCCAACCGACGTTGTTAACTGAGTCCGATGTGCTTTCCCTCTGATATTTCTACTGGAGCAACTCTGGGAAGTTTCAAGAAACACCTGGATACCCCATTAATCACGGTAGGCCCACTGGAACGTCTTTTGTGGGTCCTTTCGCCGACACCAAGGGTTAGGCCTATTTGTGCTTATACACGGCCTCGGGCGCCGCAGCGCGGAAAGGCGGAACGCGCGGCCGCTTGTTCGGCCGACCCCAAGGAGGCCATGCCTCATGAGGCGATGGTAGAAGGAGAGCAAATCTCTAAAGAGGAAGCCGAGTCCAACGGCTGGATCACCGCCCACAGAAAGCGGAATGCAAATAAAACACGCTTCAAGCACGAGACGCACTCGGCTAGGCAAACTGGAGCCCACGTTGGCCCCGCTAAAGCCAGCCAGCTGAGAAAGGTTGCCGCAGCCTCCAGGCTACCGCGCCTACCCACATCGCACTTTCGAGTGGTCGTCCGCCCGGGGGGAGGGCTGGACGTGCGAACATGCAGTCAGTTAAAGGTAACGCAAGCGATTTTAATGGCTGCCAGGCTGCCCCCAGCGGCAGCCGAGGAGGATATCGTGTGTGCGAAGGCCATGCAGAATATCTTCGTCATAAGCACACCCTCCGAGTCGAATGCCAATGCATACTGCAAAGTGCAGAAAATTTTCTTGGCAAGTAAAAAGCACTCTATCTCGGCTTACATTACACCTCCGGGAAATACCTGTAGAGGTGTGGTCAGAGGCATCGACACCGATCTGGCCGAACCTGCGCTGCAAAGCCTTTTTGTCACACCTAGAAACCCGATGGTCCTCGGAGTCAGGCGCATAAAGGAGACCCCTACCATGATTGTACTGTTCAACGGCATGAAAGTGCCCAACTATGTTCACTGCGGCCCCAACATGCTACGCTGTACACTGTACAAGAGACACATCGACACTTGCCGTAACTGCGGCCGAATCGGCTACAGGCATGATGTCTGCCCTAGACCGACTGAAAAAGTGTGTCAAAAGTGCGGGACTTCAATCATCGCAAACGGACACGAATGTGTGCAACCGAAGTGCGCGCTATGCGGAGACGCTCATCTCACCGGTGACCATACCTGCAAAAACAGATACCAAGTTCCCTACGTTGTAAGAAGGCGACGTAGAAAAAGAAGGAAAGGCGGTCACAAGACGAAGAACGTTACGAGCAACGCCGGAGACCGGGAAATCGCCGCTCCTACCAATACACCAGCTGCGGCCGCTCCAAGGAACGCCGCCACGGAATGCTCTCGGAGTTCCCGGGGTGGCTTCAACTCGCAACCTACCTGGGCGGACAAGGTAGCCGGAACAGGTGAGGCCCATGCCCCCGCGTAACCAGGGCAACTGTCACAGCAAACGTGAGACAAAATACAATTACTAGAGTGCGAGAATGCGTCTCTTCGACAGGAATTAGCTGATATTAGGTCAATCTTGCAAGAAATGCAGCAGCGAGAGCGCGCGTCTAGCGATCAAGCTACCGCAGCCACAGCTTCCATCAATAGAGGCGCGAAACGCAGGGCAGGCCCTGAGCCCATGGACGAGGAGGCGCTTAACGTCTCAAGCATCCAAACACAGCTTGAAAAGCTAAGAAATGACGTTATTGCTGAAATTATTCCTATCAGGCTCCAACTGACCGAGCACACCGCGAGGCTTCAAATTTTAGAATCATACAGGCAGCACGCACTGCTTGGTACACCCCCTTCAATTCAGTAAAATGGATAATGCAAGCAATCTAGTAATCTGGCAATGAAATTGCGTCAGCTTCCGCAAAAGAAAGGCAGTACTGCAACACTTTCTTAGCTTTGCTACCGAAAGGCCATCAGTAATCCTCCTCCAGGAAACGCTCACCGATGTCATCGCTCTTCGTCACTATCGTGCAGAAGCATATTTCAAGGAGGGCAAGAATGGTGTAGCAGCACTCGTCTCAAAGCATCTCGCCTATTTACGTCATGACGTTAGGCCAGACTTGAAAATTGAACACATCATGATCGAGCTCATCCCGAACGCTAAACTTAAGCAATCCGTTTTTATTTTAAACGTTTACAGCTCACCAGCCGACAGAAAAGAGACGTTCCATGCTGTTTTCCACAAAACGTGTAAAATTGCAATTGAATTGAGTGAATTCTAATGATCTAACGCTCATCATAGCAGGGGACCTCAACGCACATCATCAAGATTGGGGCTATATAAAGGATACCGCAAAAGGCAAAGCCCTCACAGCACAGATCATAGCTCGTGGTCTCACATTGGTCACCGATCCACGATACCCCACCCGAATAGGCAATTCGGTCAGCAGGGATACCACACCAGATTTCACCATGGTTAGGAATGCAGAGGAACCCATAAGGACTAACTTATAAGAGAATCTTAGTTGTGATCATTACATTACCAGCCTCGCGATAAGAATCTCGTCACCACCACTCAGAAAATATCACGTCACAGATTGGGACCTTTTAGGAGCTATCAGAAAGCAAGACGAGAATAAATACAACTCGTTAAACGAATTAATCACTCGCCTCAAAGAAGACGTTGCTGCTTCCACAAAGGAAGTGAAGACAGAAAGAGAGATAGAGCGCATAAACAGTCGATTAGCCCACCTTCTGGAGACTAAAAACGCGGTGCAGGCTCAATAAAAAACGCAGAAACTAGACCGATGCCTACGCGAAAAAATTGCTGAACTTAAAAGGCAGATAGATGAGCATAGTGAAACGCTAGCTCGACAGCAATGGGACGAAGTATGCAATGCCGTCGACGGGCAAATGAGGAGTGGTGTGGAGCGGAACCTCCTCAAACATCTACTTGGAGATAAACAATCCAAAACCAATCAGCAGCTTACAATTGACAGACTTATCCACAACCTAAAGAACTCTGGTCTGACAGAGACACAAATTATCGATGAACTCGCCTCGAGATATCTTTGCACAGAGCCCGCCACACACAAAGACTACCCTCCTGCTTTGCCAGAGAACGGAACAGACCCTCTCAGTTCCCCCTTCACGTGCGCAGAGGTACGAGAGGTTCTATATGAGCTCAACGGCAGATCATATCGCGGTCCCGATGGGATCAGTAACAAACTTTAAACAATTTACCTGACGAGGATATCGAGCTTCGAACGAATAAAATCAACGAGGTGTGGGAGACTGGCGATGTTCCAATAGAGTGGCGTGACGCGACCGTCATCCTCATTCGGAAGCCGGGGAAACCCCTGGAGCTTGGCTCGCTCCGGCCGATATCTCTCACTTCATGTGTAGAGAAGGTCGCTGAGCACGTTATCCTCAAGCGGGCCACTAAATTTGCTGAGGAAAGGAATCTCCTCCCATTTAACCTAATTGGATTCAGGCCGTCCATGTCAACGCAGGCTGTAATGTTGCTTTTAAAACACAAGATCATTGGCAGGGTCTCCAGAGACACCAGAGCTGTTCTGGCACTTGACCTGGAAAAGGCCTTCGACAAGGTCAAACACTCTCACATACTTCATTCCATTAGAGAAGCGGGTCTAGCAGAACATTTTTAATACTACATCAGCTCATTTCTTAAGAACAGAAAAGCTACCATTCGCCTAGGATCTCTCGGCTCGAAGACGTTTGATCTTGGACCCAGAGGCACTCCACAAGGGGCAGTGCTATCCCCATTTCTATTCAACTTATCGCTAAGAGCACTTTCCCACAGTCTTGCCGAGATTGAAAGTCTCGGTCACGCCTTTTACGCTGACGACATCACCGTCTAGTGCGAGGAAGGTAGTGATGGGCAAATCGAAGAGCGATTACAAACAGCAATCAGGGTTGTCGAAGATTTTCTTCACAAGGCAGGACTCTGCTTGTCGGCTAATACATCGGAACTGCTCCTTTACTGG